GGAAGCAGCCGATCCATGATTCTCTCTCATCATTGATGTTTCTATCTCTCTCCTCCTCCCTCACTGAAATAAATAAGTCAACAGAAAAATTTCCTCTGATGAGGATTAACACAACAAAAAAAGTAGGTAAGGAGGTATACAGCGAAGAGAAAGTAAAGAATGAATCAGAGTCTTGGAGAATGATTTTATAAAATAGGAGAGGTGTACTAGAATAAGATATAATCTCTGTTCTTCAAAAGCATGATATGATCATGGGATGCATACTGAAGAAATGAGATACATTTCTGAACAGTTGAAAGAAAGAGAAAAAGAGAGAAGAGAGGAAGGAAAAAGAAGGGAGGGAGGGAAACAAGGGAGGGAGGGAAATGAGGGAGGGAGGGAGAGAGGGAGGGAGGGAGGGAAAAACCCAACAAATACAAGAAACGTGTAGTCCACACTTCAACAATAGCGGAGAAGGATTGCATTGTTCCTCCCACTCTCCACCTTCATGACCCAACAGACAGCATTTAGGGAATGGCCCACTTTGATTAATGGTTCCAAGAGGGGATAAGGGTAAACATCCTTCTTATAAAGAAAGTTTGATTCAAAGTTCCTTGCTCTGTCTTAGAAACTTACACCTTAAGAACCTGATGAAGCCAGACCTCAGAGCTTCTCTCGAGTGTGAGTTCGAGTTCGATAGTGGTGGTTAAGAGTAGAAAGCTGACTGAAGGCTTTTCCACACTCAATACATTCATAGGGTTTCTCCCCAGTGTGAATTCTCTGATGTGCAATGAGGTGTGACTTTCGACCGAAGGATCTTCCACACTCATTGCATTTATAGGGCTTTTCACCTGTGTGAAGTCTCTGATGTCGAATAAGATTACTATTCTGACGAAAGGCCTTGCCACACTCATTGCACTCAAAAGGCTTCTCTCCAGTGTGAATTCTCTGATGGTCAATAAGATCTCTTTTAGAAGATAAACCTTTCCCACAGTCGTTGCACTTGTAGGGTTTCTTACCAGTGTGAAGTAACTGATGTCGGAGAAGATATGTATTCCGAGAAAAGGCTGCTCCACACTTAATGCATTCATAAGGCTTCTCCCCAGTATGGGTTCTTAGGTGGTCATAGAGTTTGTAACTCACACTGTAAGCTTTTCCACATTCATTACATTTATACGGTTTCTCTCCATTGTGGAATCTCTGGTGTTGAATGAGATTGGACATGTGCCTATAGGTTTTTTCACACTTGCTGCATTCATAGGGCTTTTCCCCTGTGTGGGTTCTGAGATGAGCCGTGAGCTGAGAGGTTTGCCTGAAGGCCTTGCCACACTCATTACATACAAAGGGTTTCTCTCCAGTGTGGATTCTCTGATGGTTAATGAGGTGTGTACTCGTATTGAAAGCTCTGTCACATTCATCACATTGATATAATTTCTGTGCCTTCAAAACTTGATATTCTGTAGGACTACAGGACAGATTCTTATGTTCCCCAAGATCCTTATACTCATCACATCCATCTTCTGTAGATTTGTTTTTATCCTCACATGTTCTTTCCAAGAAATCACTTTCCAGTCTGCTCCCTTCCTCCTCTGAGGGTTGTGCTTCTAGCTTCATTAAAGCATCTTCACAGGCATTTCCAGCTTCTGGTCCCTCAGGTACCACCCCATGCAGGCCTCCTGATGTCCCATCAGATGACTCTGTTTCTTCAGAAATTTCCTGCTTTGGAGGCAACTCTGAATTTTCCATCCGAGTCTCACCTGATGCCAAAAGAAAGAAGAAAAAAAGCATTTCTTATCCCATTGAGGAAAAAGAATCATCAGGAGTCTATTTACCGGAAAAAGCCTTCACATAAGGAATGAGGTAACAAACTGAGAACAAGAGAAAAAAATCAGAAATAGCTCAAATTTTTCTTCATG